GTTATAGATCATATCCCATTATGCCCCGCCGTTCCGTTATGCCCCGGGTTCCCCTATATTTATGAAAGAGGTGTCGCATATACAGTTCTAATTAATACCCTTGATTTTGAAACAAGAATGTTTTATGTAAATGTTTTTTTTTTAGTTATTTTATCTCACACAAAAATGATTGCCAAGCAATAGTTTATAGAAGTGTTAGAAAGTCGCACGCTTTTCAAACGTACCTCGATCCGCGTGCGACTTCAGGCGGCCAGGCATTAATTGTGCGGTAGTGTATCAAAGCTGCAGAGGATATAAATAGACGAGCATCGCGCACACGGAAGTAAACGGAGTGGAATCAGTCGATTTCTACGGGGAGAAGTGCTTTTTACAAGAGACGTGCCTCCGTCGCGAGTTAACAAATTCCTGATTGTCAATTTTTCGTGGGAGCGTGCGCGGAATATCGTGGGCATACATCCGTGTCCAGACGTGGTTTTTCGCGTTCTTTCAGCCGTTCCCTTCTTTCTCTCCGTTCGTTTCCGACTCTCGTTCCGCACCGAGACGTCGAAAACAATGAGGCGGAGATTGCCATGAGATTTCGAAGAATGGACCCTTGGCACGTTAGCTCGCCTACGTTCGCTCTCTCTGCTTTAAACAATTTCTTTTTTTTGTGTGTTATAACAATTGTTGCGCTTGTATAATTCTAGTGGGTTTATAAAATACTTAACGGGACAGCGCTGTTCCTGACCTTTCACGACGATTTATTTCTCGACAATTTAAATGAGTTTACGTAATGTAAATTAGTGATAAATTTGAGCAATGTGCCGCAATGCCGAACAATGAATTTTTCACTAAAGCTTTTGCCCCAAGAGCAATAAGTTCATGGTGGAACCAACTGATGGCGCTTATGTGTTTAGCAGGAACCCCGCTATCTTATATTGGTGGCCTACCTCATAATACGGGTCTCTCCTCTATGTATGCTATTCACACATAATATAAAGTAAAAATAATAATAGCTTCTTATTACTGTAAGTGTCCCGTATACGTTGATATTGATTTCGAAAGCAATTTGTCGGCGAAGCAGAGCGTAAAACGCATTAATCACTCAATTTTTCTGGATAAATTAATTCCTATTAAGAATTTCTTATGTGGATCACACGCGCGACTCTCCGGGTGAATTCCTCTCCAGCTCTCTTCCGTCTGCGAGAGGAGCGAGAGGACGTCGAAGACGACGAAGCGGAAATTGCCACGACATGTCGAAGAACGGAGAGGCGGCACGTATCGGGGATTCGTTCCCGAATTATATCCGTCCCTGTGACATTCTCTTCCGTCCCATCGCCGGGACAATGGTTTATATTAGAAAGGGGGATATACAGAATGTCCGACGGAACGTTTGCTCAATTAAGCGGAATTGTGCCGCGAACGTAGAACGGAGCTTCTTCATAATTGCGTGATTTAACGTGTTTCTCCGTATTCGAAAGGCTTGTCGTGGAGAAACTATAAGGAGAGTTGGGAGCAAGTCAACGAATCCCACTTCACGGTGCAACTCGAGATAATCGTTGTGGGAACCGTAGGATCCGTCAGAAACGTGCATGAGGAGCAATGCCGTATTTTAGAAAATGAGATTTACGAAGATACAGGCGAATGCCATCCATAAAGTGGAGCATATACGGGGGATTCCGCTCTGCAAAAGTCCGCTGTTGGAGTCCGAACTTCGGAAGCGCTTTCGTGCCGTCGCACCGCGGTCACGTAGTTGTGGATTTCAACTGCATCCGGATGCAACGACGCATCCAGCAATATTAGATGAGACACCGTTGCGCGGCAACGGTTGAAAATGAATGTTTCAAACGGATATCCGTCGGATCGAAGACCACGCGAGATACTTAAGAAAGTATGACGATTTAGGTAATACTACAATGCTATTGATATAAAATTAACTGATTCGTTTGACTGAGATAATCTGTAATAGAACAGTTGCGGAATTGTTGGTTGTATTAATGAGCTGGATACTCGACAATGTGACAGCAAGATAATAAAAAAAACACTCGCATAATTAGATATAAAAAAAGTATATAAAAAACTAACAATTATATAAATGGACTATAAAAATTACAAAGAAAAAAATCACGACAAGAAATGGTAGAATGAGAGCGCAGAATGAAAAGCTACGAATATACCGTTCTATATACATAATTTTTAACAATGTAACGCAAGTAATGAAATTTGCGCGGGTGGTTGAGAAAGAAAGGAAAACCCGCAGTCTGTTTGCAGGAGTGTATTTAATGGATTTATTTTTAAAAAGCCAGCGAATAATTCAAATAAATTTATAATATAACGAGTCGTAGTAATTATTTTGGCGGATGGAAGACGAAGTCAAGAAAAACGATGCGACGCTACTACATTAATATTTAGCAATTTATATCAATTGAAGTTGAAAGCACGCTGATTAAAGCAAAGAATGTAACAAGAAGGGAAGGAGAAACAAAAAGAAAATGCAAAACTATGCGGTCGATAAAGTTTTTCCCCTGTCTAGCAATCGAACTAATGGTACATATCTATAATTTAGATGGAAAGAAAATAGCAAACCGACATAAAAGAAAAATATATGTTACGTGATTCAATTTAAAATATGAGAAATTGATGGTGGACTGATATCCCTCGCTTTATATGTGCGTCACATGATGCATACACTGTTAACTTTCGATCTATTGCAAAATATTTTCGAAACTTTTAATTCTTTAACGAACTTATTGTTAGAATCAATTTTCTCCTAGCGAAATTGTCGAGGGAGGTTATTTTCCACAACTTCTCAATTTTCAACATCAAGTTCCTTAAGAGGTAAGCGCCGGCTGAAGTTTATGTTGAAATGAAGTCGCGCTAAAATTAATCCAAACAACAAAGTTCCGTTATTTACTATTTACATTCTTGCAAACGTATCTTACGATGCTTTTATTTATAGCGTAAAATAACTTTGTATTATTCTTCGGCTTTTCCGAAAAGTAATACGTTTTCGACAAGAAGATTTATTTCAAATTTATCGGAGAAACTATCTCCAAAATAAATTTCGTTGAATCAAAGGTAACTGTACTGTATATACAATATAAATACATGACAGCAAGTTGTCTTTATATCCACAATCTATTATCACAGCTTCTTTTGTCCGAGTCTATATTTCTCTTCAATTACGTTATTGGCAATTTTCGCAAACTATTGATTACAGCGGGCAGTATTGATGACTCGAATCGAGAAGACAGATCGAAGACATTGAACGGAAAAAAAGGTAGACGGCACAAATCGTTACGCGATGCGGCGGCGAGGAAAAGTGTCTCGATTCGAATTGAAGGTTCCAGCCACTCCAGCCGCGTATCCAAAAATGAGATTTTCGACCGACCAGAATGGGGAGGTGGATGAGGATGATTCTGAATTAAATTTTTCGAAGCGACTGACAGGCTCGTTCGATTGGCAACTCGAAACTGTCTGGCACTCAAGTTTTACCAGTACATCCCTCGAGCGATAGCAATAACTTCTTGTCATTACTACAACTATCGGTTCCGTCGAAGGACGGAAATCTTCTCTTAGTAGGACAATGATAACGAGAATCGCGAAGACGGCAGTCACTGCCCATCGGTGGACTTTACTTCCGCGATATTGCAATTCTGCAATATCTGGAAAACTTGTAAAATTTGTCTAATCAACCGTGGGATTGCGCGTGGTCCTTTACGTCGAATTCCGTTTCGCTGCCATTTGCAGAGGGTACATGTCGATTCCGCGTATGTCTCCATTTTCTCGTTTCACTTATGCTTCTCTGCTAATATTTTCTTTCCTTCTCGTTTTGAATTAATTAGCAAGTGTCGTATAATTGCCTTTGGGACAAACGATTCCTCTTGTATCTCTTTTATTATATTTTTTATCTATGTTTTGAATATGATCGAGCGAACATAATCGCTCTTTAAGAAAAATCGCGAGTCACCCTTATCTTTGTCATTTCAGATTACCTTGAGGGACTTTCGAAGTTTCTTCTTTTTATTGCCACAATTTATTTTCCATTACTCTTGGGTAAGATTTTTTACATCCGCAAAAGTGTCTTCTTGAGCGTTCGTGAACTTCATCGATTTTTTAACGCGAGGCTCGTCGAAAATGTTTCGAACTTTTGTCTTGCTATGCTCGTCAGTAGAGTTC